GCCGGCAGAGAGATGTCTCCTGATGAGCTGGTGTATTTGGGAATTCTTGCTGCCTCCATTCCCGTTGGATTCCTCTTCCGTTACCTCAGTGAGTATTTCAATCAGGTTAGATTTCTAACCCAAGTTACAGACGTATATGAATTTCAAACATAAGAAGCAACATTTTTCCATGTTATTTATTTTTCTGTTGGCCAGTGCTGTTATGTGAAATAAGATTTCTCTTTATATTTGTCCTCTTAAAGGCACAAGCTCCTTTTTTACAATTGTTGCCTTGTTTTGCATTGTGGGATTTATATTTGTTCACATACAAAATACCAAACAATATCAATTTAACATTGTGTGTGTACTAAAGAGGAGGGCTGCTCTTCATCCTCAGCTTCAGTCGATGATCATACATATCCTGAAAGGTGTCTAATAGGATACGGGACTGTTTCTTTATAGGAAAGCCCTCCTGTTCTATGAAAGGATGAAGAAAGTGGAAATCTTCTTAGCAGTCTCTGCTCCATAGCCCACTATTAAGGATTAGTGATGTTTAATCTGGTGTTTGGGGAGACTATGAATGATAGTGAAAGAAGACCTTAATTAATCCTTTCTTTTGTTCAGGGTTTTGTGCTCTTTAACCCTTCAGCCTGTTTGTATGCTTCGCAGCCTCAGTCTTGTGTTTCTCTGACTGCAGTTTATATGTTGTAGGGATTTTTAAAACATTTTTCTTTACCTATCAGATGTACCTGCAAAGCTAGCTCTGACTGTCCTTATGGGGCCTCCGTTATTGTTTTGAAAACGTATATTTAAATATGAAAGAGGTGATTGGCAGACCCCTGTATGAAGTGTAAACACATGTTGTATGAGTCACAAAAACTGCTCTCCATACTGTACACTTTTGAGAAATGTTGATATGCCTGTTGTGTTTGGGGTTGCACCTGTCCAGGTTGACAGTGTCAATAAACTAAACTAAGCTGAAATTAACTGTGTGTATAACTTCTTGGTATAAGTAGCTTAATTGTATGTTTTTTCTTTCACTTCAGGTCCTCCTGTGAAGCAGGGGGCAGCTCTTCTTCTGGGCCTCTCTATCACCATCACTACCTGTCACATTCACACACTCCACTCTCTGGTGACGGTGATTGGAACATGGATTATTATAAAGAGCAGCTGGCGGTGAGAGACGAATATCTGTGCTTTTACCAAACATGTTTCACTGTATGCTACAAACGCAAAGTACAAAAGCCAGGACAGCAGGCCTGAGAGGTATTTTTATTGATCAATCTGCCAATTAAATGGTCAATAAACAGACAAATGACCCTCACACTTTCTCAGACCCTAAGATGGTGTGTTGAAATTGTATTGTTTTTGCCTTATCAACAGTCCAAAACCCAAAGAGGTATTCAGTGTATTATTATACACACTATATTAGACACTTGGGAGCCAAAGAGCTGATTATCAGAATACCCGCAGATTAAAAAACCTCTTAAACAAACATCTGTAACACCCTTATTACAGTGTTTACTGACGGTATGGTGCAGACACAACATGTAAACTCATGTGTCTCTGTCTACAAGGCATGCCCCAGCACTGAGCCTCAGCTGGACCTTTCTCTACCTCCTCTTCTTCCGGATGGTCACTTGGTTCGGGCTGCCACCACCGACGCCTTTTGCCAATGCTGTCCAGCTACTTCTCACTCTCAAGGTACGGTGGATAAATCTGCTGCTGTAACAAACAGTCTTTACAAGCTGTGTGAGTCTTAAGAATTTGTGCGTCTTTGTTGACTTTTGATGTATCTTTCTGTTTGGAACTCAGATGGTGAGTCTAGCCAATGAGGTGCAAAGCTTCCACATAGAGAAGAAAAAGGAAGTGAGCTCTTTTGCCAAGTCTCCTGTCATTGGGGGTCTGTCGCAGGAGCCCTCTCTCTACGACATTCTGTCCTATAGCTACTGTTATGTCGGTATAATGACCGGTAAGTCTGTGGAAACGTCTGTCACGTGTCAGGATTATGTTTGTGTGCCAGCTGGTTATATTCATGTTCATTGTTGTTGATGTAAATTTGCTTTTGCATGAATTTTAACTGTTGTCTCTCTTTGTCTCACTCTCCGCTACTTGTCCAACATTGTGTGAGTCCACATTGTTTTCAGTATTATTTAAGATTACTTGTGGTTTTCATATACCTCTTCTCTCTTTTTATCTTCTTACTCCCCTCTCCTGTCCAACAACACCCTCTCGTCTTATGAACCACGCCGTCCTCCACTGTTCCCTTTTGTGTCTTGCATTATTCCGATTTTCCCTTTTTGTCTATCATTGTCTTCTGAACGCTCCTGTATCTCATCCCTCCCTCTCCTTAAAGGTCCGTTCTTCCGCTTCCAAACGTACTTTGACTGGTTGAGGCAGCCGAGCCCTCAGGCCCTGCCTGCATGGGAGCCATGCCTGCAGCGTCTGAAGCTGGTTCCCCTCTATGGCGCTCTGTTCCTGGGCGTCAACTCCGTCTTTCCACTGGCTTACGTTCGCACAGAGGAGTTCCTGGATGAAAACTTTTTCTTTCGGTATTGTTTCAATGCATTACTGCCCTGATAATGTCAGTTATAGGAGTTGTAGATTGATTATATAGTCATCATCATATCATTATTGCATCATTTATTTGTATTAAGATAGTAATTAAGATAAAATGACTGCATACAATACCATAGTTTATACACTAAGAGAAGAATACATTTAATTGAATTTAAAGGTGCTTTATACGACTTTCAGACTAGATGTCTCTCTAGAATACCAGCAGACAAAAACAAAGAGTACTGCGGCCCACCAGACTCCATTGACAAAAACAGTAAAAACAGTAATTTTACCTCCCGGTTCATAAAACACACTATATCCTCGCAAAAAACGAGATAAAACTCACCATCAAAAAAACAGCTATCTCAGTCACTCTCCTCAAAGCCAACAGTTGCAAACAGATAGATTTACATGCACTAACATTCACGCTCAACCGGATCGGGGAAGTAAACAATGCTCAGGGGTCAACACAGAAAGAGGGAGTGTGATATTGACATGTCATTCTCTGCTCAGGACAACATCACTCCACTATATATTGACATAGCAAACAGTTGTTGGCTGGAATAACCAGTTTTTTGTGGCAAACGAATACTATGTGCTTATATTGTCAAAACAATTTTTTAAATGTGGTGAATAATATTTTAGAATATTCTCTAAATTGTGCTGGGAGCCAGTTAACTTAAACTGCAGTAAAACTTATTGTACAAAGTGTCTCTACTAATTTCTTGTCTGGAGTCTGGTTGTAATTTGTGACAGAGGAAAACAAATTAAATGAAATAAGTGAATATAAAGCATAGAGTGAAATAAATACAACAATGCTGTGGATTAGGAAAGTAAAAAATGATTCCTATCAAGTCAAAGAAGGTTACAAACTACGGAGGGCACAGCACTTATTTAGGGTTGAATGCTAATGTAATGTAATGTCCCCGCAGTTGTTTGATAAAGAGGAATAATGTACTTTACCTGTCGCTCTCCCTGTTTCACTCTCTATCACCAGGTTGTTCTACATGATAGCAGTATTCTTCGTGTTCAGGATGCGTTTCTATGCAGCGTGGTGTGGAGCTGAGGCGGGTTGTATCAGTGCCGGTCTGGGCTGCTATCCAGAAAAGGCGCAGTCCAAACCCGGAGGAGGACCCACTGTCACCTACAGGTACATTTTCCCAGAACTAACAAGTATTAAATGAAATATTAGAAGAGGATAAATTAGTTATTGCTAACTCATGTTTATTTATGTCAAATTGTTTTCTCTTTTTCTGGATTTTTTCCCCAGTCCCGACCCCACCGCTGATGAGAAATATGACTTCAAAACCATCCAGAACATTGATTGCTACAATACCGACTTCTGTGTGAAGGTCCGTCATGGCATGCGTTACTGGAACATGACGGTGCAGTGGTGGCTGCATAACTACATCTACCCCAATTCCCCCTTCAAAGCCTACACTCTCAGGTAAGTCTTTATGCGTGCAGCAGCTTATTTTACAAGAATAAATGCCTGTGTGGTGTGTTTGAGTATCAAAATGCCTTCATGTGGCCTCTGCAATGAGATAAAATCTTATCAGCAAGTATCTCCAGATTTTAGAGCATTCTCTCTTGTTACTAATCAGCTTGGATCTTTAAATGGGAATTTCCTGCAGGGATATCAGTGACGCTCCCTCTCATACATAAAAGTATTTTATTTCAAGTCACACAAAAGAGAACTGATTCTAGGTAATTCTGGTGTTGGCTAATAAAGTCAAATGTTAAATAATAAGCTATGTTAGTTGTTGTCACTAAATCCCATGAGCAAATAACCAAAACCAACATTGTTTCTCAGTTCTTCTGTAGAACTCCATCGAATATGCAAATCTTTTTTTAAAAAGGGTCACGAATATATGTTTTTTTTAAAGCAAAAGTCTTATAATAGCTGGGCACTGTAGTTAATAGCGAAGGTTTCTCAAATAGGAGTAAATTGTGCATTTGGGACTGTTTTCAGTAATGAATTTGGTTCATTAGTGAGTATTTCCAGCAGCAGGATGGTGTTAGAGGGAGCGATTGAAAACACTGCCAGTGTTCATAGTAATGAAGGAACAGTGTAACATTGTGGCTCATTCATGTGTTTTTAATAGTTTTTGGATAACTTATGGCACAGAAAATAAGCTACAGATGGGCGACAATTTAAAGGAAAGACCAACACAATCCATCCTGATGTAGCATTTTTAATTTGTAACCTGAAATAAATCAAATGACAGAAACCCTCACAGTGTTGTATCTGTATGACTCATCTCTACTGTTTGTCTGTAACTCGCAGGGCTGGCTGGACCATGTTCATCAGCGCCTACTGGCACGGACTACACGCCGGCTACTACCTCTCCTTCCTCACCATCCCACTGTGCATCGCAGCCGAGTCCGCCATGGAGGCCTCCATCCGAGCTAAACTGGGTCCCCGTGGACAGAACATCTTCGACTGGGTTCACTGGTTCTTGAAGATGAGGGCCTACGACTACATGTGCATGGGCTTCGTGCTGCTGAAGGCCTCTGACACCATCCACTACTGGACATCCATCTACTTTATCATGCACATCATCGCCGTTTGCTGCATAGTAGTCGGCAGGGCCCTGAAGGGAGGGAAAAGGGAAGGTAGGAGAGGGGACAAAGAGGAGAAAAGAGAGGGAGAGAGAGTAGAAAATGTGAAAGAGAAAACCGGAGAAAAAACAGACTGAATTGGAGGTACAGAAAAGAACTGGTTGGATACTTTTTTGAAACATGAGGGGGAGTTACTTCAAGAACAGAACTTTCAGATTAATCGCACCAACTCTCTCTCTCTCTTTCCCTCTTTCTAGCAACAAACAGGTCCAATTAGATTTCTTTTTGGGGGAAATGTGAAAGTACAACCAGATTTTTATCCAAAATGCAGTAAATCAGATGAAAGTGTGACATGTAAAATACAGTTTAAAAAGGTTACCACTGGAGACGTTGCTGTGTGTACTGTGAACACTGGGAGAGGCATATTTAAGCTCAATGAATGTTACTTTTATAGTGTGAGTGGCAACTGGGGTGTAAATAGGTAATTCACTTCCCTCATCTGTGCGTCTGTATAACGTGTGCTTTTAATTTCAAGACACCATGCCCAGTTTAAGTGAACTGCATTTACTGGTCGGAATGAGGTTGTTGAAATGTCAACGTCCTTCTTTCTGTAGGGCGAGTCAAACAATAACCCCTCCTAAACTTTTAAATAATTAAAAGAGAAGCAAATTGAATGTGATTAAATTGGCACAGTTTCCATAAGCAACAATACATTCCAGCAGTATTATGTTACTGTACAGTTCGATTCAACTGGAGTACAGAATGAAAAGATTGTGATGGAAAAAACATTATGATGGTATCGTCATTAGGGCTCAGCTGTCACATGTGTGATGATTCCAGTCAGATTTCTGTGTGTGTGTGAGAGCATTATCAAAGTTTTCCAGTTTATTAATTTTACAGAACTAATTTACATTGCTGCCATTTGGCATCGTAAAACTGCACCTTGACTGTTTTTGACCACATTAAACAGTAGGTAGAAATATGTTTTTGTGATAGTGTAAAAGCAGAATTTGTTATTTGTATAACATAATTTCACTTTAAGCAGAAGTACAAGCATCACGGTGCATGTTAAAATTCAAACTGGTTTACGTTTATTTTATTCTTCAGTGTTTTTAGGATTAGTTTTAAGTAACCTCACGCATTTTCAGCATTATAACTTTTCCCATTTTATGTGCTCAACATTTTTGTGTTTACTTCCCTGATCCAGTGAATCACTGTTGTTCTGCCTGCCTGTAAGCAATTCAGATCATATCCAGAATATTATGCACTTACATCTCTAAAGCAGTGTTGCATTCAGTGAAGATTGCGCCATGTGAAAGATTTCACTGCCAACATGTCTGTACTGCCATTATGGACCATTCAGGGTTGGGACCAAACATTTGATACAAAAGGTTTCACATTGTAACTACAAGCTGCCAACATACAGCGTGAATAACTGCACAGCTAGGGCTGGGAGATAGGGTTGAAATCATGCATGCAAAAGTGATGCATGCAACATCATTTACACAATAATTAAAGTGATGTTTAATAAACTCTAGTACATGTGACTAAACTTGTAATATGTGTAAACCAAAAGCTTAAATAACAAATTTAGTTTTTAAACATTTATATTGTCAGCAGATATTTCTGGGATGATCTCATTATGTGATAATATCTGTATAGTTAATAAATGATAATATTGAATTATCACCCAGCCCTAACCTCAGTACACTGTGTATTAGTTGAAAAACAGAGAGTTCCTTCACTCATTCCTGTCTCAAACTGTGTGATAACTGTACTAAATCTGTTTTATATGAGCATGACTGACAGCAGAATTGAAAGCTCTTATCTCCTAATGGGTTTTGTTCTCCAAATGTTACTTGGAACCGAGATAATTTGAGTTACAAATTGATTTTGTGTTATGCTTTTACCTTTTACCCTCTCTGTGCCAAACTTCAACCCTTGTTATAAAATGGGTCCCTTTGTTTTTATTATTGCACAGTGAAGATTGTGATGGTTTTAGACCTTCTGTTGACTGCTCGTCTCCAGACTATTTATTTTTCAGCCTTCTGTCCGTTTGGGGTTGTCCTTGGCTTCACATGCTGTACCGACTGTAACACTCCATGCTTTGTAAAAGTGTTACTTACTGGAATACATATCAACATTTCCTCACCTCACTTGCCTTTTCTCTTTTTAATATCTACCTGGTGTGATTATCTATGAAGTATTTGTTCATTATGAGGCTTATAATTAGCTTGTGGAGGTTATTAAGATAAAGCCTGGGAGTAAAGGCTTTCATGCATCACATCTTTTCAGTTGTCAGACTGGGGAATCATTAACTCTCCAGCATTAGAGAATGCAAACACACCTGCAACCACAACAGTGGGTTTCAGTTGAGCTAAGAGCCAGTATATGTGGTTAACTACACCCCTTTGATAAAACATTTTGTAGCTGGTGAATTCATAATATAAACTTGAACAAGTTTATATGGGAAAGTTAATTTGTTCCCATTATTGGAATGATTAAAATTCAGCAAGATAATTTCAGTACACTCAAAGACACTTCTGTGAACCTGTTAATAACCCCAAATTACTTT